CGGAGCTGACGGGGGCCGCGCCGCCCGCCTCCTTGGTCAGCCCGGCCTTTCCTTTTGACCCTGGACGTGGTTTCTCTGTCGTCTCTCGTGTTGCTGACACCTGCGCCGTGCCTAGATTCCCCGGGTTGGTTTGGCCGTGCCTGGGGGTTCACCCCGTGCAGGAGGTTTCTCCAGGGGAGCAGCGCAGCGTTACTTTGGAGGTAAAACACGGAGGAGTTGGACTAACGCAGCTATGGCATGCTGTAGGGACTGCCCAGGGCGGGCGGTGGGATGCTCGGGTCTGCCTGATGGAGCTTCAGATCCACCCGGTGGTTTTTATGCACTTCGGTAATACAGCAGAGGCCGTGGACCAAATCCCAGGGTCTCAGCACAGCCGTTTATCCCTGTTAGTCCTAAAGCAGAATCGTTCACCGGAGTCATCTGCCCGCGTTACTGCGGTGAAGCAGTTTTAAAAATCCCGAGTGAGTGCTTTGGTTCCAGTGAGCAGCACACGTGCGTGCTTGCAGATGGCCCTCTGTTAGCAGGGGAGGTGGAAGGCGACTGTTAGCCTGAAAAGCTTGGAGAGCTGTCTGCAGCCATTTATTGTCGCCAGGCTTTTTATGGGCCTTGTTTAATTACCCCTTATGCCCCTCTGCAAATATCAGCTTAAGATGAAGGGCCTTTAAGTAAAGAAGGGAAATCCTGCAGGTTTCTAAAATCTGCCTAACTGTTAGAACTCACAGTAATGGCAAGTTTGAAGGTAATGATGGAAACTCCAATTTAAGCATAATGCTGGGTTCATACCCATTCATCTTGCAAGGGCAGCAAGAGTTGCATCTTTAATTTGTCCTTGCAGGATCTGGATGCTGCATTGCCACTTATAGAACTCTACAAAGATAAATTAGTGGGTATCGGAGAGGTGAGTAGAATTCCTAACCTGTTTAAACGTTTATGGCTTCAGCGGCACCTGTCACCAGAATTACAGAAACTCAGCGGGTGCTTGGTTTGGTGTTTGCAGTAAGTATTGCTGTCAGTCTGACCAAGCGCTGGATCTGATTGGTAATTTTCTTAATGTGCTTTCCTTCACAGAGCTGATTTGCTCGATGCTCTCTTTTCCTTCGTTATCGTTATTAGGAAATAGATGGCATTTATGCTGGTGGATTTAGTAGGAAAAACTGCATAATTATGCTATATCATCTTATACCCAAATGTCTTGACCTGTTCTCTGGCACAGCGATGTGCTGTTATCCTCATTCAGATCCTTCCTGCCTTCTTCCCTGACAAAGTTAGGCTAAGCTGTAATTTCAGTACACCTCTCCGACTTGTAGACTCCTTTTTTCCTTGCAGTCCCTCATCTGTCTGTATCTGTGAGTTTTCTCCTGTTTTTCATTTGTTTATAAACTAATTGAGGCTTGAAAGCTTTAGAGCAGAGTCTGCCTCTTTTGTGTGTTGATACCAGGGGGACTTATGGCTGGTTCTGCACTGGCTGCAGGAAAACCAGGTATTGGCAGAGCTTTGTACTTAAACTTGCCAAGCGCGTTTGTTTATCAAGGACTTTAGTTGGTGTAACAGAGTGGGGCTGCTTTGACGAACTTTAAATTTTGCCTGAATGTGTTTAAATCAAAAAAGCATAGAATTAATGGGTACTTTTTGCTAGGTATAGGCGTAAAGCTACAGGTTGAGGTCAGAACTTTTACTTGTGTTGGAGATCCTGATTTGTGATTTAATCTGAAGTAATATTTAATAGAATATAAAACCTCAGAAAACCAGTTACAGATTAAAATGTTGAATATACTTGTTAGTAACTGTCAGCCCACGTAATTGAAAAACTTGTGGTGAGAATGGATTCCTTTCTGGGTTAAGCTACAGTTGAGCTCATTTTAAGTGCAGTCTCTAGTATATACATTTTGAAATGCCTTGCAGGTTTGAAGCATTTTTTTCCTTGATGCATGGTATTGCAGCTTAGTCGAGCGTTGGGTGTGTAAAATTTTTTCACTTCTGTTCTTGTACTGTAGGTTGGACTAGATTTCACTCCCAGATTTGCCAGCACGGATGAACAGAAGGAAGGACAAAGACAGGTTTTGATCAAGCAGATTGAGGTGGCAAAAAGACTGGATTTGCCTTTGTAGGTTTTGCTTTTACTAGTAAGAGAATTTCCCAGATCTCAGTAACATGTGGAAATATTTCCCAGGATTTACAGTTACTAAGAGCCCACAGAACTTTTCTTTACGTGGGTTAAACTGGCATTAGTGTCCTGTCAGTCTCCAGTCTAAGAGTCAATTATAGAGTATTCCTATGTCTGCACTTGAACGCAGAGGTCTTCTGTGTCCTGTTCCCGATACGCTGTTGCTGTATCTTCACTGCAGCTAAAGTGATTCATATACACATCTTTATTACATCTTTTATCAGGGGGAAAAAAAAAAATCTGAAGATTAATTATTTGTGTCCCAAGCTGCAGTTAGTTTGCTTGTGTTTAAAAAAAAAGAATTTTGCTGAATTCCCTAATGCCAGGCCTCTCCTTGCTGTGCAGAAATGTTCATTCCCGCTCAGCTGGAAGACCAACCATTAACCTCTTAAAGGAACAAGGTATGTGTTTAATGCACTTTCTCTGTCATGGTTTTTGGCAGCAGAATTGCCTCAGTTGTGTCATGTCCTCCCATCGGTTTGTGTACATGAAACTGGAGGAACAGTGCAGAGATTCTCTGCTCACTCTTTATGGGACCCCTTGGAAGCTGACATTGCTGACCTACTGCAAACACTGCTAACGATCTGGTGTGCCTCTTTCCTCCGAGGTGCCAAAAAGGTGTTGCTCCATGCTTTCGATGGGAAGCCGTCTGTAGCCATGGAAGGGGTGAAAGCTGGGTACTTCTTCTCCATTCCTCCTTCCATTATAAGGAGTGAGCAGGTAATATTTAAAGGGGTTTGCTCCTTGTAGGTGCTTGGGGATTGCAGGTAGTAGCTGACAGCTTGTCATGATGGCAAATGTGACTGGTTTTGCTGTGCAGCTCAAGAAAACGCTTGGGTTTTAAGTCTGTGTGGTTTGAAGTGAAACTAGCACTCGCGAGTGCTGCCACCTGACGCTTCTCGACAAGTTTCAGTTGCTCTAGCGTTGCACTTTTTTACTTTGGCTAAATTTCTACCTGGGGCTTTTGCCTGATCTAAGACTCTGCAGAGGACATGTTAGCTAAAACCATTCAGGCATTTTTTTTCTCCTGTGGTTTCTGTCAAACTCTTCTTTGGAAGCTGCTGTCACTGTACTGTTTTAGAGTAGGGACATGCCATGTGGAAGGGGACTAGTTTTTGTCTCAGTGCTGTGGAAATCTGCTCACAACTGGCAAAGCTACAGACCGTGGAAAAACTGTGTATCATGGAGTGCACCCAGCGAGTAAGCAGCTAAATTGCTTCAAGATGGCATTGCTCAGGTTCAGCCCTTGATTTGGTGAGACTGCTCTTTTAATTTCTACTCTGGGCTGCCGCAAGTTATGCTAACGTCTTATTTTGGGGCAGCGGTCTGTTTCCGTCCTGCACCGTCATCACTTTCTGTGATAAGCTCAGGAAATTAAGAAAGGAAAAGGCATGCTTCAAATGGAGGGGGCGTAAGGAATGGATATAAACGGGGATGAGGTGAGGAGCTTGAAGAAAGGAGAGCAAACGGGTTGAGGGGTAAAAGCAGAGATGGGAAAAAGGCACACAAAGTCTTGGCATTGCTTTTAAATGCAGAGGATGTCCTTCCTTCCTACCCTTTTCCCAAAGGTCTGAGTGCGTAAAGCGCTTAATAGCTGTGTTTTTTCTTCAAGAAGCAGAAGCTTGTGAAACTCTTACCTCTGGAAAGTATGTGCTTAGAAACTGACTCTCCTGCTCTGGGACCTGAAAAACAGGTAAGTGATGGGGGGAGGGACTCGTGTGTGTGTATATCCAAACCTGCCCCTTACGGGGCCCAGTTATGGGCACGGGAGAGTGAAGAAGTGTAAACATGGACAAGGGATGAAAGAGGTGTCAAGTGAAAATGTTGAGATTAAAAGGTCTGTGTTCCTGTGGCTGGGAAAGGAGAAGAAATTCTAGGAATGGGCAAAGGGGAAAATAATTCAAGAAGGATAGATATATGTAATTTTTATGTCTCGGATGCCACAATGTGACCGAAGTTGTGTCAGAAAGTACTGAATCTGAAACACCCATCATCTGTGGGGATCTGTAATTTGGTCCCTTTGGGGTTTTTTTCCCAGGTGAGAAATGAACCAAAAAATATTCACATTGCTGCAGAATATATTGCTAAAATTAAAGGAATTCCAGTTGGAGAAGTTATAGAAGTGACTACGCAGAATGCACTGAAAGTATACCCTAAACTTCGTCACTTTCTTCGGACATAGACTTAGAAACTGAAATGTATGATGTCGCAGAAACTACTGTTCATGGTATAATAAATAAAACCAACATGCATCCTGTCTTTCTCAGACTCCTTACTCGGCTGCTCCTAGCCTGGGAGATGGCCAATGTGTGGTGCTTAAAGTCCCCCTCCTTCCTTAATTTCCGCTGACTGGAAGTCACTGGGGTGTGGGCCCTCTCGTGTGATAGGAAACCTACTGTCGGGACTCGCCAACTGCACATCCCTTTCTGCGCCCGTATAAAGCCCCAGCTGGGTGGATGTTCTCCATACGTTGCGTTTACGGGGCACCGCTCGTGGTGCAGGAGCGAGAGCTCTGGTCGCTTTCAACACACAGCTGGGAGGAGAGAATCGCAGCCCTTTTCCTTTGTGTACAGTAACTTACCAGTCGCTCAGATCTTCGCTATTTTGAGAAGGGTTTGCTTTGACTTTTTAAAATGAATGGTTTTTTAATCCTCTTCAAGGGAAGAACCCTGGGTTTGGTATTACCACAAGGGCTTGCGCTTCTGACTGCTCCGTAGCAGAGGACAGGGGATGTGAAAGGGAGAGAAGCCCAGTTTTGTGAGATCTTAGAGGTACCTGTCTGCTGTGGGTTCTGCAAAGTTGGCCAGTGTCCTAAACCCTGAATCTTGTGCCCGTGACAGTGCCTGTGTGGATGTGGGCCTGCTGAAATACTGAGCTGAGTTTTGCTGGCCATTAAACAGTAGTGAAGGAGGCGAGTTAGACACAACAGTGTTCTGAGGGCCATTGGGGAAGCAGAGGCTTTGTCTGCCTTGGGGGAGTTTTACTAGCTCAGTGAAGAAAATCTGCAAATATTAACTTAGTCCATGACCACCTCAGGTACAAAATCATGTGTCATGAAGACCATGGTGAGAGCATTTGGCTTTAAGATGTGGGCACGTGTCTTGTTTTGGGTGTCTATATGTTTTTTTCAGGTTGGACACCTTCCTGTCTGCGAGGTTAGAGCATCTTACTGATTGCCCCTTTGCAAAATGGTTTGTAATGCTGTCTTCTGATTTCACCTGATGTCTGCCTGCTGGGATGTAGGACTGCAGGGGAAGGGCTTGGCTTGCTTTCCTGTTTTGAAGAGGATGCAGATGGGAAAGGTATCAGCTCCCAGGCAGGAAAAATGGGAGCAAAAGCTCGTAATGTGATACCCATCTTAAACTTCTGGTTTCCTTTGCATTTTCTTCCTCAGTTTCTTCAAACCACGTTGCCAGGAAGGTGTTTTGCTGTCTTTAGCAGAACAGTTGTTTGCCTCCAGGTGGTGCTAGGGAACGGGTGTGCCGTAGTCTTAGGAATATTAACGTGATTGATATTAATGATTAATAATCATGTTATTGGAGGTGCTAAATGGGTGATACTAGGCAGCCTTACACGTGCTGCCTGCAGGAAGGGAAGGCTGCCAGTAATGCCTGGGAATGGAGTTACGTGTGGAGATGTTCCCAATAAAAAGTCAGGCAGTGTCCAAATGTTTGCTGAGTTTTTGCCTTATTATTCTCTACAAAATGTTCAGCCTTGGATGAAAACACTGGTTTTGCAAAAAGGGGAGTATCAAGTATTTAGTCTGCTCAAAATCCCTCTCTCTGAAGGGGGGTAACATTGCTCTGGATCAGGATTAACCCCTGGGCAGATGATACCTGTCCTGAACTCTCCAGTTCCTTTTGTTGACACAGCACAGCAAAACCCGTAGGCACGCAGAGATCCTGCAGCTCCCAGCTGGGCAGCCGGCTACTGGGGGCAGCCAGCCCCATGTGGGCTAGGGGCCTCTGCGGGACAGCCTCTCCCCCCGTCCCTGCAGCAGCGGGGCCCAGAGGTGTGTGCGGTGGCATGGGAGCGTGGTCAGGGCTAGGGAAGGAGAGATGGAGTTGCTCCCACCCTGAGCAAGGGAAACCTGGCATTGGAGCAGCCATGGGTAGGGTGAGCCTGGCAGGGTGCCCACGGCAAAACAGACCCGCTTTGTCCTCTCCGTAGACCTTCGGCGCCTGAGCTGAGTCATGGCGTAGGTGGCCTGGTGCTCCAGAAGAGGAAAATGCAGTGTCATCCCCACCTTGTATCTGCATTCCTAACGGCAGCCAAGGATCAGAAGTAGGTTGGTTTTGCTGTGCCAGCTGTGCCCCAGCCATCTGCAGCCAGCACCAGAGGGGCAGCCGGTGCTGGAAATAATCGAGGCTTTGCCCAGCAAACCCAACTTTTTAGGTCGCCTGGTGTGGAGGGGCTTGGGAAAGTGGGACGGCTCATGAGGATGCTGAGTGGCTGCACACCATGAAACGTTCCATCTCCACGAAGACTGGCCTTAGCAGTATCAGGATGTGTATGGAACCCTACTGCAGCCTCTTGGGTTGTCTGGGCAAGCCACTTCCCCTCCTCTGTAGCACAGGACACTGGAGTGGCCAGGGCTGCTCTGGGGGAAGGCCCGAGTGCAAATTTAGCTGGATGCTGTGCTTAACTTTTGGCAAACCTGAGGGGAAACGAGAGAGAAAGCACAGAGTTAGTGGAGACCCAAGTTTTCTTTACAGTCATGCCATTAATTCTGGGGGATGCTAACAGCCCCAGTGACCTCTGGCTCACAGATGGAATGGCACAGATGGTCTGCAGCCATACGGACAGTGGTAGGTCCCAAGCTCCATCCGATACCTTCGGCCATCGCCTTTCCCTGGGATGCTACAAACAGCACCCTGATTGCACTTTGTATGACTCCTCATGTCTCTGTCTTGCAGGATGTGCATGATGTGATGGAAAAATCAAGAAACATTTGTGATTTCTTCAGCATAATTAGCGCCTTCAGAGTGCCTCGCTCGTTAGTGGGTGCTCCGTTATTGATGCAGCTCTGGCTGGTACAGCTTCTGCCAGAAAAAAAAGCCCCCATGTCGCTGGGTTCTTTCCAGGCTTAAAATAATGTGTGCAGATGCGCTGTGTGCACGAGGGACTCCCACATGTGCAAGGGCTTACAGCAAGTGCATCCCTTAATGCCAGGCATGAATAACAAGGGGGATGCAGGGTGACGGGAATAACGTGAGGGTACTTCCCGTAGGCTGAGGTATGGAGCTGGTAGGTCTAGAGAGCTGGGAAGTCAATTTGTCTGCTGATAGAGACAAAATAGTGGACCAGTGTATGCTGTTAATGGCTATGAAATCACAGTTACTTTGCACCTTCCTTGTTCACTGAGCACCTTGAATCACAGAATCACAGAATCACAGACTGGTTTGGGTTGGAAGGGCCCTTAAAGATCATCTAGTTCCAACCCCCCTGCCATGGGCAGGGACACCTTCCACTAGACCAGGTTGCTCAAAGCCTCATCCAGCCTGGCCTTGAACACTTCCAGGGATGGGGCATCCACAGCTTCTCTGGGCAACCTGTTCCAGTGCCTCACCACCCTCTCCGGGAAGAACTTCTTCCTGATATCTAATCTAATCCGCCCTGATTTCAATTTGTACCCATTACCCCTTGTCCTATCACTACAGGCTCTTATAAAAAGTCCTCTCCCAGCACCCCTGTAGGCCCCCTTCAGATACTGGAAAGCGGCAATGAGGTCTCCTCGGAGCCTCCTCTTCTCCAGGCTGAACAAGCCCAGTTCTCGCAGCCTTTCATCATAGCAGAGGTGCTCCAGCCCTCTGATCATCTGCGTGGTCTCCTCTGGACTCGCTCCAAGTGGTCAATATCCTTCTGATGTTGAGGGCTCCACAGCTGGATGCAGCACTCCAGGTGGGGTCTCCCCAGAGCAGAGTACAGGGGCAGAACCACCTCCCTCAACCTGCTGGCCACACTTCTCTGGATACAGCCCAGGATACGGTAGCAGGGGCTGGAAGGATGCTGAAATTGCAACTCCTCAGCTGTCTGGTGTCGTCGCCCTTTCGCCACCCATGCCAAGCTGTTAGCGGGACAAGACGGAAGTGATTGTGCCTGAAGGCCAAATGACTTGCAAGAGCTGGTTGTTTATAGTAGAACTGAAAGGTTCAGATCACTTGAACCCCTCAGATCCTGGAAATCTCCTGTGAGTGCTGGACCAAGAGCTAAGGGTCTGAGGGCTCTAGCTGTGCTCACTCAAACAGTTTTTGGAGGGCTGCAGATGGAGCATCCTCCCAGCGCCTTGCTTCTGAAACCTGTGTTTAGTCGTGGGCTAACAGAGCAGGAATCTGCTGAACTGTGGGACAAACTGTGAGGGTGATGAGTTCTTCCAGACTTTGACATGGGAACAAGCAAGGAGATGCTGAGGAGGCCAAGTGGATGATACACTGTTTAATCCTGGTGTTTGTTGGGATAAGAGTTTAAACAAATTGACCAAAGACTCTTAGTGGAGGTGCTTCCCACAGGCTCCTATGCAATGCATAGATAGGCTCTTTAGAGGCAAAAGCAAATAAATAATTGGCTGGAAATGCAACTTTCATCACTAATGAACTTCTGCTTTTGTTTGTTTTTTCATTAACACAGGTTGGGGTTCGAGCCTCTGTTCCCACTACAGAGCAGGAAAATGAATTGGAGGGAGTCACTGGCTTAGCAGAAAGGTTTGTTGTTCTTCTATTTGCTTTCTATGCACAGTACAAAGATACAGCTGAGATCAAAGAAAGGGTAGGAATTGCCATAGCACCTACTTGTCTCAGCATTTCCCTTTTCAGCAGGTGGTTATCCATCCATTCGTTTCCCCTGCTGGGGCTGGCCTTTCTATCCGTGTGGGTCAGCTGGGGCACGGCCATGATAACCCTTCAGTGCGCTGCGTGGTGGCCCCACCGAGCAGTGAGTCCAAAGTACCCCCTTCAGGGCCTGGCGAATTTTTATTCCCCCTCTTTGAGCTGCTGTGAGTGACAAAACTGTGAGAAAATATGGGTAATATGCCCACGTATGTTGCCTTCCAGGACAGGCGAGGCGGCTGCGTGGCATCCACGGTCGGTGGCTGCATACAGGTGAGCCCAGCCTGCCGTGGCAGAGCATCGGCACCGCAGCGTGGCTGAGCAAACCTTCAGCTTCCTGGCACGGTGGAGAGTTCAGCCTCCTGAAAGACCATGAAGCAGCACTGACATGGGGGAAGCGGGGCCATATCCCCCTGTTTTGGACGTGCAGGGGATGAG